ATCTAAAATATAAAAACCAATTCTTACAAATATTCCAATTCCAGAACACCCAATGAATCTAATTCCAAACACACCACTGGGTTTTCCCTCAAGTAACAATGGGTTTTCCCTTCAGTGCAACATCATATTAAAATTAAAAAATGGATTCAAGTATATGGCATTGCTTCATGTTAACCACATGGGATTTCACATATACTTTAATATGACTTTTGTACCATTATTGAAAAAAATAAATTTTCGAGAGAAAATGACCTGATAGGCCACATTTCCAACAACTCCCACTTGGCCTGAAGGCCCTTTGACATCTTGTACATGACATTGCCTCATGCTTTCCACATGGGATTTTCATATACACAACCAGTGTAGTCAAACACCACACTTAGATTTTCTAGCCTCCATAGCCATATATATGGCATTGCCTCATGCAACTTGCATGAGATTTCACATATACCCTGCCAATGTGGTCATACACCACATTTAGTTATACCCTGCCAAAGTGGTCATACACCACACTTAGAATTTCTGACCTAAACAACTTTGTATATGTCATTGTTTCATGCTACTTGCATAGGATTTCGCATATACCATGCCACAATGGTTATACACCACACTTGGATATCTTAGCCTCAACAGCCATGTATATGACATTGCCTCATGGTACTTGCATGAGATTTAACATATACCCTGCTAATGTGGTCATATACCACATTTAGATTTCTTAGCCTCAACAACTTTGTATATGAGATTGCCTCACGCTACTTACATGAGATTTCACATATACCATGCCAAAGTGATCAAACACCCACAATTGGATTTCCTGGCCTCAATAACTTTGTATATGGCATTTCCTCTTGCTACTTGGATATAATAGAATGTGAATAAAATTTTTAATTTAAGGCACTATAAAAATTTACCATAAAATCTTTGTAATTGAAACCTTCCACATACTTTTCATGCTCAAAGTGCATTGATTTACATGAAATATTTCAAATCAAGTATTTCTTTACATAAATAGTTGTCTTGCCATAATGTGCATAATTGCTAGAGGGCTATATCAAAAATAAAACAATAAATAGTGAACACCAAATTTCTCTTTCGTACATGGCAAATGAGAGAGTGTATCTTTCTTTTTCTCTCCATATATTTTTATACAAATGATTAGATGAGTGAATATTGAGCTTTGCCTAAAATTAGGCAAGCTCCCTTTTGTGCATTAAGAGGTTTAGCTAAAATATTAAATGTCTTATAGTATTAACATCAACACAACTTTTCCATGATGTCATAGTCGTGAACATAGGGATAATGGCGTTCATGTGGTTCATTGCCTATGGTGTAAATGACAAGCTAACGAATGCGACATTCATGTTCATTGAAGAGAGAGAATTACTTATATTTAGGTAGAGAGATAAACTTAAATTTTGAAAAAGAGAGAGGCTTACATTTTGAAATAAAACTACACACTGATTTTCATTGGTTTTATATTAACCACACGGGGTTTCACATATACTTCAATATGGTTTTTATATCATTATTGAAAAAAATAATTTTTTAAGAGAAAATGGCTTGATAGGCCACATTTCCAACAACCCTACCTTCAAGAAGAGATCTCTCGTCAATTCAAGGTCTTCAAGCGATGGGAATCAAGACTAGGCCGAATTCCTCTCTCAAGACGCTGAGGTGAAACTTACCCATAAAAAAAAGGTGTTGGGTGAAGGGGAGAGAGAGAGTTAAAAAAAAAAAACAATTTTTACTCGTGTAATGTAGAGAGAGAATATACATAGGACCCACGAGAGAGAAAAAAATCTCCGTTCTTGAAGAACCGAAAATTTAAAATTTTTGGTTTTTCAAAAACTGAAATTGGCTTGATTTTGGTTTTTGAAAAACCGAAATGGGTAGTTTCGTTTTTTTTTTTTAAAATTGTTATGAAGTCCAAAAAGCGTATATATCAATAATAACAGAAAGTATTCCATATTTTGGTAATAACAAAAACGAAAACGAATATTTACGTAAATTTTCCTAAATAATTTAAAGTGTTTTTAGATCTGTTTCATTTGCACCCTTTCAAAAGCGTTAATTTTATAATTAGTGGTGAAAATAACTATCTTAAACGTTTTCGACACTTGAGGGCCAATTTGGTTGTGAAATAAAAAACCCTTCACATTGAAAAAAAAATTGTAAGTTTTTCGACATTAATTGAGAGATATAATGATGTTTTTTTTATTATTCTACTGAATTGTTTGGATGGTGTGTGAAAATAAAAGATTTTATTTGCTAGTTAGTGTTCTACCTTTCCAACATTGTGTTGCCGTTCCAAAAGGTTTTCATAGAGGGATATCCCTCCCATCAGTCAAAAATCCGCTTCTATACAACTCTGTCTCTCTCTCAAAGTTAATAGCCTTACCATTCTAAAAGGTTTTCTTGTTTCCTTCCCATTAGTAAAAAAAAAAAAAAAAAATACCGCTTTCATACAACTTTGTTTCTCTAAAAGCTAAACACCTCAAAATATCTTGTAAAAACTCCCACCCAAAAACCCCAAAATCAAATCAACAGAACCAAACCCAAAAAAAACCCACTTGAAAGTAGAGACCATTACCCCTAAAACCTCCATTGAAGTAAATCGTGGTTTTAAGTTCTGCCCTATCTTTTGGAGGGACACAATTAAGTCCAACCTTTTATTTTGGAGAGAGGACCCTAAGGGGTCACATTTATAAGGAGGAAAAGAGTCCTTTTGTAGTTTTTTCAAGATGAAGGGTTTAAGCGAGAATTTGTCCAACTCTGCAGAACTGGGGTTTGTGATATTGATGGCACAATATGATAAAAACAGCTCTATTATCGACACCATTGTTTGAAAAACTGCCCAATCTAATCGGTAATCGTCTGGTTAGATCCCGGTTCCGGTATCGAGTGGTTTTGGTGATCGGTAGGTATTTTCAAAAATAAAAATTCAAAAAAATATTTATAAAATCCTAAAAATAAAGAATTTGATTTGTAATACAATTTTTTAATATTTTTTAAATTATAATAAATATTAAAAATTGTTTTGGTCATTAATGCTCACTTTTAAAATCTCTTTTTTTTTTTTTATTAATTTTCAAATTCATTTGAATGTGTTTTGTTTTACTTATTCTTTATATGTTTTTCATATTTTAGTAAATTTCTTTTTGCATATTTTTAATTTTTTTCAACAATTTTTTGGCCGCTTGGGACTTTCCCTGTTTGAACGGTTGAATCGGCCGCTTTATCGATTGAGCCGGTTAGCCTCAGACTATTCGTTCTTCAAGGTGCGCCATAGATTTGGATTCCACAAAGCCTCAGAATCTTCATCCTTCAAGGTGCGCCATAGATTTGGATTCCGTAGGCGCCACTAAACCATTAGCAACACCAAAGGAGCTTCTTAGGGAGAGTTGGGTAGCTGGTTGCTAAAGAGAGTATGAGTTTTTTGGGTTTGCAATTAGAGAGAAAGATTGAAAGAGTTGGGTGGTTTGGTCATGAGTAAATAGAGAGCAGGTGGACGAGGGAATCTTTACTTTTATTCAAACAAATTCAAAAAAAATTCAAATCTAAATTGAATTAGTGGTAATTTTTTACCTTGACACATACTAAATCTTTTGGCGGTCCAAATGGTTCAAAGTCCCTTTCACACGATTTTTAAATCGTAATTCAAAAATATTGCAATTTTAGATACATCCAAATTGGAGTATATCTTCAAGCACAAATTTCTATAGAGTTTGACGATGCACTTATATTGTTTAAAATTGGTAATATTTGAGCTCTAAAAACCTTACTCAGTTGTCATAGAGGTCTGGAAGTCAACACTTGAACTAGCAATTAACTTGGTGCACTTTTTTCTTTTTGAGCTCCAAATGTCCCTCTTTTATTGATTATAGAGAGATGAATAGATAGACTCCTATATTGTATTCACAGATGAATGCACATGGAGATTTGGCACAGGATCACATGCACAATAGGGTTCCATAGGATCACCAAATCTCCAAAGAGAGATGAATAGACGTACTCCTATATTGAATTTACAGATGAATGCACATGGCGATTTGGCGTAGGATCCCATGCACAATAGGGTTCCATGGGATCACCAAATCTCCAACCTTTTTATATTTTTCACAATTTTGTAATGGTGAGGTTGGTATGAGGTCGTAAACACTTGCGATGATTTGAAAATATATTGTTGTATTTAATTATAAAATTTAAAGTTTCATACTTAAAAATCTTGAAAATGGATGATACTATTAGAAGATAAACTCTTTTTTAGGACTATAAATTTTTTTTTTTTTCTTTTTTATGAATCTAGAGGTCTAGATGATCGATTTGACGATTTTCAATCATTAGAACAACTTTCTACAATTTTCCATCATTATAAAAAAATTCAAAACAATTTATATAAAATTCAAAAAAATAAGGGATCTCGTTTGTGATGGTTTTTTTAATGTTTTTCATGATTTTGGCATAGATCGGCTATTAATATTTATTTTTATATTTTTTATTTTTTTAAAACACCCCTTTAACACAAACCGATTATTTGAAATCGTTAATTTTTTACTACATTTGAATGTGGTTTGTTTAATTATGTTTTTAATAAATTTTTATATTTTATTTATTGTTTTAATTTTTAACACTTTTTTAATCAACTTAGACGCGCCCGGTTAAACGGGTTGAGTTGCCTAATTTACCGCTTGATCTGCTTCGGGGCGGGCCTCTTTCTGACCGGTTGAGTTGCCTAATTTACCGCTTGAACTGCTTCGGGGCGGGCCTCGATCTGATTAAGCGTTTGTTTGGGTCGGATCTTTACTACGCTGACGAAACATTGGAGTCCCTCGCCTAAGAGTGGGGAGGATACCGGGAATGCCCTCGCTGGACCGCAAAAGCGGTACCTGCGCCCCATCGTATAGCTCGTCCCACGAAATATCCCAGGGGCAGTTTAGTCATTTCATACGGTTTAAAATTCACGTCTTCTAGCGGCGGAGCAGGCGAGAGATGTCCCCTCTATCTACATCTGCGTCTTTCTCTCTCTAGCTTTGAAAGAGTGGCCCTCTGCACTTTCTCTCTCTAGCGGAGGCGGTCTATTTTCTCTCTCTACATCTGCACTTTCTCTATGTAACTTGGAAAGAGAGGCATTTCCAAAAGAGACATTTCTCCCTCTATATCTCCACGAGACAAGAGAGAGGCCCCTCTCTCTCTCTCTCTCTCTCTTCGAGTGGCTCTGCTCCAGCGTTATTAAGAATCAAACAAAAAGCCATTGGGCATCTCTCTCTTTCTCTCTCTATGTTTTCACTCTTCCCTTTCTCCCCTCAAATGGCCGGAGTCCTACCGGGAAATATTGCGGGCGACCTCCTCAACTAAACTATTAGGTCTTCCCTCTCTTGCCGTCAATGACCCAGGACATTTTCCGGCGGCGAAACCAAGGGGAAGAGGAAGGGACTCGCCGGAAAACTGGAACACTAGACGGAGGTGCGGCCATGAGGATCATCGTTCCATTACAGGGCGTTATTCAGGGAAGGGGGGGCCTGGTTCTGGGGTTTGTCGCCCCTTGTGCTCTCTTCTATTTTCTGCAACTTTTTTTCCGGCGATATCGCTCCTCTTCTTCTCCTCCTCCTGCTCCTCCTTCTAGGTCGGTTTCGTCAAGCCAATTGGCTGTGGAATCGGAAACTCAGTCTCAATTGGGGAGTCTGGTTTCTCTGAGAGGTTCTTCAGGGCCTGCATATATTTCATCGAGGGCTTTGAGTTTGCGTAAAACAGGAAATTCAGAGTATTATGTGGGTTTGAAGGAGTATCTTGATAATCCTTACGATCCGGTGATGAATCCAAATGGGGTGATTCAGCTTGGTTTGGCTGATAACAAGGTTAGGACTGTTAATTGATTTGTTTGTTTATTGTGTTGATTGTTTCCGTTTGTGCCTTTCTTATTTTTGGTTTTCCTGTTCGGATGTCAAAGAATTGGAGTTTGGGACCATTTGTGAATTGGATTGTTTGGATTTTATTGAATTTCTTTGGTTATAACTTGGTTGATTTTTCAGAAATAAGCATTTATTGATGCATTTTCCACTTATGAATTCCAGAGAATCGTCCTTTGCTAAATTCTGTAGAAATATTTTTGGTCTGCTTTGTTTTTCATTACTTCGATTGGTTCATTCTTATGTTAAAATGCCGAATGATTTCAATTATTTTTTGGTTTCTTGACTTATCATTACTGTTCACTTGGATTTATCTGAAGAGAATTAAGTCTAGTTCAAGAAGATATTTGCAAAGCTTATCTTTACACTCGAATGATTCTGAACTTAAATATTTAATGTTCTTGTTTCTTGGCCTGAAGATTCATGTGTGCAATACTTATTACATTATTTCTTTTTTCTGATTTGATTTGGTTGTGCTTTATGGCAGTTAACATTGGATTTGATTGGAGAATGGATGAGCAATAATATGAGGAGATCATTGCTCGGTGACGATGAAGTTGCTCCTCTGAGTATGTGTGGAATTGCCGGTTATCAAAGATTTGATGGATTGCCCGAGATGAAATATGTATGCAATTTCCCTTTTTACTCTTTTTTACCATTATAAGTATTTTTTTTTCTTTATCCTCCTAGTGGTATCTGAACTTTGAGAGTTTTTACATCTAATTTTCCTTGCCATAATATGCTTAATTGTTAATATTCTCACAGTGTTCTTAGCTAGAATCACCCAGAGTTAAGCTGTTTTATACAGTTATTTTGTTTTTCTACTTCCATTGTTTTGTTTTGGTCTTCATTGTTTATGGAAGTTGATTTTAAGCATTGCTTGTTGGAGTCCATTTAAGTTTAGAAAATAACAGTGTTGATGCTCTAAACAGTTCTCTGCTTGTATTCTTGAATTAGGATTTTATTTTCCATGCATTTCTTTTATATGTGTCATGAACCTTCTTTTATTCTGTCGTAATTTGGAACTGTTACTTACAAAGTTGCCCTGCTATTTCTCTTTTTTTCTGCTTTCTATTTTACTGAATCTTTTGAGTTTCATTGTTCAATGTACTCACTTCAACTACTGACTTCAACAGTGTAAACTATTCTAGTAAATGACCTGAAAAAAAAACATTCACTTGTCTTCCTCTATGGGGGCCTGTTAAACTGAAATCTGAAAGCTATTAGAGGAAATCTGTTAATTTGAATTATGGTGGCAGCAAAAGCGTAAACCTTGGGGATTGCATAGATCAGTATGAAAGAGATTGTCTGATAATGTGTTATGAGGGGTTTTAAATGTGAATGCGCATTAGATAGGATGGCTGTACTCTTTCCTTTTGTCTCGATGCCGAGATAAAACATGATATTATTCTAAATTTACAAACACTGATCCTTGTGACATAGTTCGATTTAATTTGGTGGATTCCTCATGTTGAAGGGTCTCTGTGATATAATTTCACAAGCTACTGCAGCAATGCCTTTTTATGTGAAGGGGAAGGTCAATAAACATTTTATATTATTTGGAAAGGGTTCAACAATATGTTGGAAGTTGGTAGCCTACTAAATCCACAAAAGCCGTTTGATGATTTGAAATGTCAAGCAATTATTTAGTATGTGACTTGGCTGGGAGAAAGTTTTGATTTGCAGTACTGGTGACAGAGTCTTCTTTGTTATTTGGATACTTTCTATTTCTAGAGCCATTTCCAATGTAAGGAAGTCCTTGTGAAACCTTCAGAAACCAAAACTAGTTTACGGTCTTAAATTTGTAGTTTGCTATCATTAGAAGGCTTACTACTGGAAATATTGACAATCTTTATTATAAATATATTTTGGTTATTTAGGAAACATATACCTCTATTGGCTAGAATCTTAAGGTGTTGGTCCCCATCCTATCATTGGCCTTTCCACAATGTGGTTTGTTGCTGAAGCATTTGCTTGTTTTAGTAAATTAAGGGTTTGAGCATTTGTGGGCAAGCTTCCATCAAATTAGGCATGTGATAACCATATGAGGTTTGTGGAGTGGCTCTTGAGCCATGGAGGGCTTGAGGGCTTCTAAGTATCTGACCATTTCCTAAGATATCTGACCATTTCATACTCTTTTGTACCAGTAGTTGCATGAAGAAGTTCCGACTTGTTTACTTAAGCTATCACTTATGTTTCTGTTTGCATTAAATTAATGACATTGGCGTAAAGTCAAACTATCATGTTTTTCATTTTGATTTGGATAAACTTAAGTTCTCATGCCACTACTGGGTGTCTAACATTGTGGCTTCTCCAAAGAACATGTGATTCCCCAAAAATTTAATGCATGTTCATGCCTACACATGGAGAAAGAGTGAAAGCATACAATAAGGAGACTAAAAATAGCTGAACTTCACAAAACACTTGAGTTTGTGTGGTTTCTTAAAAATTATCTGTTATTCTTTTATTGGTATGGATCTGGTCGTCCATTCGCCAATCTGCCATCGATTGGAGGGCAGGTAGTCATTGCTATCCAATGATTAGCTTATTCTTAGGCATTGATCACACTGCCCACTTACACCATGATGGGGTAGGGTGATTGCCCTAATTTTACATGAGCTGTCAACCTTTATGATTATTTATCCTTTTATGTTAACTAGCAACACACTTACTTCTCTTTGTACCCTACTTCTATATATGATGTGTAGAAAAGATCAAAAGATCATCAAAGAAGTGCCCTTCTGAGTAGATGGAACAGATTGATAGGCCTGTAAGATGGAATGCTAGAAGCATGGTGACGAACATCTCATGGACGGCTGGAGACTTGGTGACAAACTTCTCATGGAGGGCTGGGGACTAGGTTCAGGTTGTAAGGACAAAGGGTAGATGGGATATCTGGCATCTTAGGTCTGGATCCTAGTTACTGAAAAACTTGTTTTGGGTATGCAGAATTGTTGGTGTATGAATTATGGGGACTTGGGGACCGGCATGAAATAGATCTAGGAATCTTTCTATAAGAAGTATCCAATGTAAAAGAAACTTCCCTATGTTGTTCTTTACAACCAAAGTAGAAAAGAGTGGGGCTCCGTTGAATTACTGAATATGGGAGATATATGAGCCTGCAAGAATGGACTTCTTCCTCGTACACGTTGGCAGAGCCTCCTTGAGATCACGTAAAACCAAGAAAAGAAACTAAAAAAAAAACCAAAGGAAAACACAGAAAGAAAGAAAATAAACTAAAAAATAGAAGTAAATACAGAACTTACTTATTTGGAAACCATTCCCCTAGGCTCGGCGCTTCGAGTTGGTGGCCTAGAATAGACTAGCAGTTGAATTACCTTCACCCTCAACCCTAGAGATTGCTTGACTTTGAGAAGTTATCTAAGGCATGTTCTTCCTAGGATTTTGATTGTTTAGGGCATGCTTATCCTGAGGCTTTTTAATTTAGGTTGCTTAGGGTATATTCTTTCCGAGGCTTTGGTTTTCAAATTTCAATGGTGATTTTAGGGTTTCAATTTAGGTTTGCTTAGGGTATATTCTTTCTAAGGCTTTGGTTTTCAAATTTCAATGGTGATTTTAGGGTTTCACATGGCTTCTGGAATTGCAGGAGTTTGTGCTTAAGGACCTAAGGTTGGGGAAGACCTGAGCTCTAGGGTTTCTCTAGCTTATGAGGCTATTTGTTATCTATTCTAAACGGCGCCAGAGGAGGGTTATATAAGGCTTCAGTTGGCTTCTAGATCTATCAGAAATAGGAGTTCGAATCCTAACATCGTAAGATTTCTGGGCTAATAGGGTTAAGTCTATCTGTGGAAACCCATCCTCATATCAGAACTAGAGTCTTCAGATAAGCATAAAAAGGGGCCTGGAGTCAGCACTGACCTTCCAAGAGCTTTCGGAAGGTTAAAGGGTATAGTGTCGCAGATCGCGTCTCTGGGCCCAGTGCCCTCAGCGACATGCTCTGCATTGCTGGGCCATCTGTGCCCCAAACTACTCCATAGTCGGCTGGTAGTTTGACCTAGTCCGGACTCCTTTTTGGTTTTTATTTGACTAGTTTGCTCCTGTTTCTGATCAGATTTGGGTAGACCTGGACTGGCTATGGTGCACTAAGGTTCAATGGGCTAGTATGGTCCCTAGTGATTCAGGTTTACAGGTTTTTGGGAATTTCCTTAGCCAAATTTAAGGGCTGTTTATAGTTGCCCCTCGTTGATGAACCCTATTTCTAATCAGATTTGGGTAGACCTGGATGAGTTTGGATAAATCTGATAGTTTTAGGATTCCTTAGGTTCCCTAGGGAGTATGTACTACAGGCTATGGTGCACTGAGGTCACTAGGCTAGTATGGTCCCTAATGGTTCAGGTGTATAGGTTTATGGGAATTCCCTTAGTGAAAGTTTAGGGGGGTGTCTACAGTTGTGCCTCTTTGGTGCACCTTGTTCTTTGGGATACAGGTGGGCAGAAAAAAAATAGACATCTGAGATACCAGAGTTTAGAAAATGAAGAATTGTCCACTTGAATGCTTAACACCAATGGTCGATCATTGCTAGTTCACCTTGGATATTCCGACCCTTAATTGGCAACACTTCAAGGCGATGGTCAGCCATTGCTGGTGTTCCGACCCTTAACTAGGCGATGGTCAGCCTTTGTCAATTCTTCTTGGCTTTTTTGCCAAATTTTCCTTGGCCTAGTATTAGTTATCAAGTGAATTAAAGAAATGTGAGTTGGAAATATTCATGTAAGAAAATTTTGTCCAATTGAATACCATGGCTCCTAAGGCTTTTCTAAGGCTGTGGGACTCAATGGTTGGCTTCTCCTGAAATTGGTTTGGCTAGGGTTTCACTTTAACTTTTTTTGTTGATATTTCTCTGCTTCAAGCAATCCTCTGGATCTTGGATTTTGACTTTCATCAACATGTATGTCCTCATTTTCAGACACTAAATTGTTTCTCTGCTAATTAGTCTTGGGTGAATCCTTCAACTCCTTTGTTTTTGAGAAAATTTGGCGAAATGGGGATAAAATTATGAAATAGAAACTGGTATTGGGTTTATGGTTTTAACAAAGAAACACAAGACACAGTTTAAAAGCATCCAACTCATGATTTGCTTCTAAGATGGAATTTGAAATTAAAATTTAGAAATAAAAATTAGAAAGTTTTGAAGAAAGGGATATTTTCGAAAAATGACGAGGATAGCAGTTTAGGCTTGTGCCGCTGTGGAGCATTTTCTGAAAGTTCTTCTTAAAAGGATTTTGAAAAGGTTGAAGAGAAATTTTTGAAAATATTTCTTTCCTCTTTTTTTAAATTGAACTTTTCAGTTTAGCCACTTGTGACCCTTTTTAATGGATTTATGAGCTTGCCAACCTTGTCTGGGACTTTCAAGACCAGGAATCATCAATTACTCTCTTATCTTCAAATCTTAACCACATGTCGCAATCTAAAGAGGAGTTCTCCGAAAGTCTTTAAATGAACCAATGTTTTGGAAAATGCAAGATACTACCCTAAGTGCTTGGGATCTCCTTGGACTTCCAATTTTGTGCCTCCACTATTGACCCTTTAAAGTTCCGATGGTCGAGGTCTTTCAAGTTTATTTGGAAAGTACTTAACCATGGTCTGTCAGGCTAATGCCTTTTGTTTGCTTTTGGGCACCTAACTGATACTGACCTGGAGAATTTTTAGGCATCTTCTAATCTTCTTTGAGATTTCATACCTTTCCCTTTTCCCTATCCCCTCTCTCTTTCTTTCTTCCTTGTTCTTTTTTTTTTTTTTTAATTGCATGGTGTCCCTTTCAGGTGTTCAGCTAGGCAACAATTTTTTTTTCTACTCTCTTTTTGTCCCTCCATTCCACAGGGTCCCTTTCGCGTTTTTAGCTGGGCTTCTTTATTATTTCTGACCACCATATGACTTGGATTGCGGGTGATTAGAGTCTTAGGACTTTAGCAGCACCTTCTTTTGACATTGACTTTTCGGTGGATGCTGCTTGTGAATGGGTCTTCTTTTGATTTTGCTCCTTTCTTTAAGAATCGACAGTGCTTCTTTGTGACACGTCACCCTAAGACCAGGTTAGGATTTCCTTGTATGCCCTTGGGGATGTAACCACCTTTTCCATTCTCCAGGTGGCAGGGGGTTCTAATCTCGGTAACCCTTGGATTTCCCTTGCCCCTGGGCTGGTACCTAACATTTCTTTGATGACGGTTTCCGAATTTCAGAAGTGCAAGTTCTAGCTCCCTGAGAAGCTAGATGATGTTTGGTAACTTATCTGGAATTTTGAGGGACCTTGGAAGCCTGTGTTTGACACCATTCAGAAGTTTCCAAACCTGGAGATAAGGTTTGGGATTCGGGTTGGGTCAATCCGACCAGGTCGGGCTTTAGATAATACCGGGTCGGGTCCTGCTAAATACATGCTAACACTATTAAGTTAATTCATAGTATATTTTTTATATGTTTTCTAATTCATAGACCCGCGGTGCAATTGGCTTGGACCTGATCTGGGTCTAGGTCCAACTTATACCCAGTCCTGTCCAGTCGGGTCGGGTCCTATCCGGATTGGGGTCGACCTGGAGCCAACAACCCATTCTGGAGATCTAGTAATTACCAGTCTAATCCGTACCTTAGTGTATTTCTGTTTAGGAGGGTAATATTGGTTCATAAAATACTTTTTTATTAAAAAATATTGGTTCAATGAAGGAGAAGTTCCTGGTCATCAATGATAGATGTAACAAGAACTCGGCATTTTCCTTATCGCTTTGTATCAGCAATTCTGTTTCCATATTCAATAGACATGGAATCACTATGATTGAACAACCTGAATTTTCATTGTCACTTTGGTAGAACCCATGACTCAAAAAACTTAAGAGACACTATGCATAAGTATTAAAATCTTTTCATTATTAATTTCGCTCCTAAAACAATTATCCTGAAAATTTCCCCAATTCCTTGCAAGAATAAGAAATGAAAGCCATACTTGAGTGATTAAAAATTATTCTATCACTTCTCTGATTTCTTTCTTTTCAATAGGGAGACCATCCATCCAACCATTGGAACCTATTGGAGGATACCAACACCTTTGCAATTTGTTGATACATCTATGCTCACCTAACAAAGCACAAAGAAATTTGGCTTTCTAATATATGGTAAATTGCATGGCAAGTGATTAGGAAGAGACTGAGTGCAAAAGTTTCAATAGAATGTGGAATTAAGAGAGTAATTATTAGGCTATAGGGTTTGAATTCGATGCTTCCCAATCAAGAAAAATCATCATCATTATTTAAGCCTTATCCTGACTATTTGGGGTTGGGTATACGAATCTTGTATTGGCATTCCACTTTATCAAGGGCCATACTCTTGGTCAGACTATATATAGGCCACCATATCTCTTCTCTCTACTCCAATCCATGTCCTTTTTGATCTTTTGCTCTTTTAGAGCCTTCTACTTGAACCAAATCAAATCGCCTCTCCTAATAGGTGGTGTTCTAAGTTGACGCTGCACATGGCTAGACCACCTCTGCCTACTTTCCCTCATCTTTTCGCCTATTGGAGCTGGTTTGATTCAGCCAGTTTGACTACCACGTCTCAACAAGACTGGTTGAATCTGTAAAAAATTAGTACATTAACCTTTGGAATCATGGAGACTCAGCTGGTTTGCGATGTTTCTCAACATGACCCAGCACTTAGAGCACCGACTTATAAAACATTGCCTCGTATGGATGTGCTAATGTTATTTTATTGTTTCGTAATCAGAGGTGTAATTCATCTGTTCATCTGTTTGAATTATGATATGTATTTGTTTTGTTGTAATTTGTATTTTTGATACTCCTGCTTTTGATGTCTAATCCCCTGAAATAAACTGTAAACTATATACTTTATAGTTTAAAAAACAAGTGTCTTGAATTTTCTTTGATGGTCTGTTGTGTCATTGCAGGCCGTGGCAGGATTCATGAATCAAGTCTTGAATGGGAAGGTTTCATTCAATCCATCACAGATAATATTGACCGCTGGTGCGACCCCTTCAATTGAGATCCTTAGCTATTGCCTTGCAGATCCAGGCAATGCATTTCTTGTTCCTTCTCCCTACTATCCTGGGTGATTTTCTACTCCTACACCTGACTACTTTTGCCTTTGGGATCATTATCCTTTGGGAACATGTAATGATCCCCTGGACTGCAGAAAAATGCATTTTATTGGGGGCCATCACCATTCATCAGAGAGAGAGAGAGAGAGAGAAAGAAAAGGGAGAGAGAGGGGTTCACACCAGACACGACATGACCCTGATGGGTCCCACTGGTCATGAATCCATCATTTGAGTGGATGGTGAGGAACCCCATTGGACAGTGGTTTCCAAATAACCATTGAACTACAGTGTGTTCTGCCTTTTAAGTTTTTTTACCACTCCTAAAAGACTAAACCGAAAGTATGAACTTGCAGGTTTGATAGGGACATAAAGTTTCGAAGTGGGGTTGAGATGATACCAGTCCCTTGCCGGAGCACTGATAGCTTCAACATAAGCATAACCGCTCTAGATAGAGCTTACACTCAAGCCAAGAAACGGGGACTAAAAGTTCGTGCTCTCTTACTCTCAAACCCATCCAACCCAGTAGGCAATTTGATTAGTCGGGACTTATGGTACAGCCTCCTCGATTTTTCTAGAGAGAGAGACATCCATCTCATCTCTGATGAAATATTTGCTGGATCAGTATATGGGGATGGAGAGTTTGTGAGTGTTGCAGAGGTTCTAAGCTCAGGCGAGTTTGACAAGAGCAGGGTCCATATAATATATGGGCTCTCAAAAGACATGTGCCTTGCTGGATTTAGAGTTGGAGTTCTGTATTCCTATAATGAGAGTGTATTGGCTGCTGCGACAAGGTTAGCGAGGTTTTGCCCTGTCTCAGCTCCTACACAACGGCTCATGACCTCTATGCTCTCTGATAGAGTTTTCATTGCGCAGTTCCTTAGAGAGAATAGAGAGAGGCTGACAAAGATGCATGGGGCTTTTGTTGGTGGGTTGAAGGAATTGGGCATAGAGTGCACAAAGAGTGTGGGGGGTTTCTATTGTTGGGCTGATATGAGCCATTTGATACGATCATATAGTGAAAAAGGAGAGATTGAGCTTTGGAAAAAGCTGTTATATGATGGTGGCGTTAATGTTACGCCTGGTTCGTCTTGTCACTCTATTGAACCTGGGTGGTTTAGGTGCTGCTTTACCATGTTGAGCGAGGAGGAATTGGGTGTGGCCATGGAAAGGATCCGCAAGGTTGCAGAAAACTGTAAATCTCGCAGTTGATGTATTATCTATTGTTTCCTTATTTAAAAAAAAGTTAATTTTAGCAATTTCTCTGTCTACATGTCTAAGGGCTCATAGAGTTGTTGAAAGTTATAAATCTCATAGGCATCGTCTTATCAATTTTCCTTTGTACAATTTTGGGCTTCTCCTCAATGTTCATCAGTTTCAGATGATGATTACTGTTTCAATTCAAAAGTAAAAGGAAAGTGATAGGAGAGAATTTTCAAGTTTTGGAGATTTCCCTCTATCTCACATTCATTTTGTTTTCGTTCTCTGCAGAAAAGTACAAGCTTCAAGTGCATGAAAACTTTTAATGGGATGGGTATTAATAGCTCAGAAACTGGGTTCCATGATCATGGCAGATAACAAAAATTGGCATCGCAGCCCTTCTTTCTCCTTCCGTGATCTTCCCTTCTGCTCTCATCTCTTCCCTCTGCAGTTCATAATTTTGTTATCATTAAAAACTCGGAACACTTATCACTAAACTACTCCTCTCTTTCCTTTATTTTGTTGGTCTTGGTGGTTGTTTTGTCATTGACCCTGTCTGCAGGGGCATCATACACAGCAATTAGGGCTATATGCCTATGTTCTTTCTTGTGGAATTCGAGGAAGTGGATATGAGCTATTGGGTTGTGAATCTACAAACTAGCAACGGAGCTTGGGAAATTAGGGAACATCAAGCCAGCTGCTAAACTTTATTTGAACTTTGCTTATCAGTTGTCTGCAGGAATTTGCATGGGTTTTCAGAGCTCATAAATTAGGAGGGTTTTTGAATCCGTACAGTGCAAGCCATGATCAATGTATCACACTCGTCTTCTTTTTCTTCTCCAGTTTCTCATGTCTCCCTTTTGTTGAAGGGATGGTATTGCATCCATAGTTTCTTAAATTCCATCATAATCGTCGTCAAAGCCTTTTTTCAACTATTTGGGGTCGATCAAGTTTTGTTAAAATCCCTAAACTTAAAAGAATTTGCGGACTTTGTTTTGACTCCGGCTAAAACCAAAATGGGCATAACAGTCTCTCTCATACTCCCTCTCTATCTCTACCAGTAATGTACACTAGCACTTAGAGAGAGGACTGGTTATTTGCATTCAAAAGAGAAGTACTTCAAACCAATCTTAAATCACTACAAGCAAAAGGCCATAACAAAGAGAGAGAGAGAGAGCTGTACAATCTTGTGGTGATTCATTCAAATGTCACTCCACCGCTAGATCTCTCATCCGCAGTTCCAAACCTAAACAAAATGAAGAATCCTACTGCAAAATGTACAAAGACAACTATTAATTGAAATCCCTATCTTCTTGGCAGTAGGATCTTCATTCATCATGGGGATCCCATTGTTGCATTGTTGCTAATTCCACACATCCAGCAACCTGTTCTTCTCTTCATCGTCGTTTCCTATCATGAATTGCGGCAAACCAAATTACAGTGAAAAATTATGCTCCTAAGAAAAAAAGAGGAAAAGAATTTGACTGGTTAAAGAGTAGAAAAAAGAATTGATGCTCCTGATGGAGTGCATGAACCAGTGATTGAAAAATCAGTGAGTTCGTTCGGAATTAGCTGCGCCTGCGGCTTGGTATCGAGGGCTAAAACCTCAGAATAATCTGATTCTCCGTGTTTTCTAGCTTTTCTTTTTCTTAATTTTTCTTCCCTTTTTTAAAGTTGCCCACTTCAACTCCAGAATTGCTCGAGTCGGACTAGACTTATCGGAATCTGGGCGAGTCCGAGAGGGGGCCATTCCAATTTTTTGAAAGACCGGAGTAAACAAACAGATGATATCAGAGAAAATGAATCGAGACTGCATGTTCCCTGTTATCCTCCTTTGGCAATGTCTTTCTTATTGAAGCTCTGAGAGAGAGAGAGAGAGAGATTACCAGTCGTGGAGGACTCTGCATTCCAAAATCCATGACTACTGCTCTTCTTCTCCTCCTGCAACTTTTGAAGATCAATTCTCCAAGAGTTGGAGTTCTTCCTTTCACTATCACCTTATCCTTAGTCTTCCAATCTTTGTACTGAAACTTTCCGTCTGTTTCCAATCTAAAACTCAGCTCCGAACGCGAAGAATTTCTCCACCTAAAATGGCTTCCTGTAACCAAACCATTTCCATCTTTGTTGTGTTCTTTCCTTTCAGCAAAAGGAACAGCACTGGACAACTCCGCTACAGTTGAAAGGCAATTCGCCATTAAAGAAGGCCCTGAGATTAAAGCCTCCTCATCTTCTGTCTTTTCATATGAATCAAAGGCAAAAGCTTCAAGGTCCAAATCAAAAAGCTCCTCTTCTTCTTGAGAAGATTCAGACTCTGTTTCCTCTGAATCGGTGGATATAGCGCTTCTAAAATGGCTGGATACTGGAGATTTTAGGATTACAGAGTTGCAGGGTGATGATGACGATGAAGAAGGAGATGGGAAACTGGTTTGCCTTGATGGTGGAAGGGGAAGTGGACGATGAGACTCGCCGGGATTTGAAACTCGGGTTATTGTTTGCCGGAAATTGACTAAAGATTCCAGCCACTGTAAAAGTGGCTTTTCAAATTCCGGCAGCTGTCGAGGTGGCTTTTCTAATTGCGGCGACTGTAGAATCGGTTTTCCGGGTTTCTCTTCCCACTTGAAGGGAACTGAGATAATCATTTTGACGGGAAAACCACCATTTTTGCCTGAATTTAAAGCAGTTTTTTTGGGGATTCCTGGTTTTTCTTCCCATGAGAAGGGGATTGAGCTCGGCCTTAGTTGTCGAGATGGCTTTTTCTGGGGAGCCATTCTCTGAAGAATTGAGAAGCTTGGAGTGATGGCACGGGGGTGTTTATAGGCGACAAGTGCCTACAACTCTTTTGAGGTTTTGGTGTGAACTGCTCCATTGAGGGTGGAGAAGGTCAAATTTGGCCCTAATCCACCGCCTTTCGTGCTTGCAACAACGAAACCAGGGGGAGGAGAGAGAGAGAAGAGAGAGAGATTGTTTAAAATTATAAAGAGAGAAAGAGTCTATGCAGGTATTTAAAAGAAATATTCTATAACTTTGTTAGAAAAAATTGAACTAAGGCCATTTGGACCCGAATCTGAATTACGAATCGGTGGTACCAATTGGAATCCTACTATACATATAAAAATCTATTGGTTTTTGCTACATTTTTATTGGCGACGACTGACAAGTGAGAGCAAAAAAAAAGAAAATAGAGAGAGCGAGGTTTATCATTTGGACGGCGTAATGTCTTCATCATGCTCGGAAATTATTTAGAAATGAGTGTAAAAGAGGTTTTATTATAGTAAAAGTATATAATGAGACTATTTATCTTTGGTATATGGTGCTCACTAATAATCTTGATTATTATATGTAAACTTGGGTGGATGTATTTATTTGATTGATTCAGCTCAAAGTTCAAAACAAATTTTTTTCAACTTTGTAACACATCCAAGCTATTGGATTTTACATTGGATGATTATAACTAAGTGTGATCTCCTTGTATCAAAGATAAATAATCTCATTGTATAATATATTTTTCATAAAATTAAATAGCTAATTATTTTATTTTATTTTTTGTTCTTGAAGGTTCAAATCTTCATTCTACCAAATGAATGACCCGCATTCACCAAAAAGGGCTAACTCATTTTGTCCAACTTCTTTTGTGTAGATATGCCTTTTTATTTGATAAAATATACAATGAGATTATTTATCTTTGATACAATATAGTTACAACTAATCTTACCATTAAATATGAAATTGGATGGATGCATTTATTTTATTGATCAAACTCAAAGCTCAAAACAAATTTTTTCGAACTTAATAATGCATCCAAGCTATCAAAATTATAAATAATTATAAATAATAGTGACATCTTTGTAGTAAAAGTAAATGATCTCGTTCTACACTCACCTTTTTTATTTTGATCGCCTAAATGATACCTATTGCCATGCAAAATTCGAGGTGCAATGCACCTCTACTTCTCAGGGTGGATTACATTATTGTAGAAGCATGGTGGCTCATATAAGCTCTCATTTTCTGCTTTTCAAAGTCAAGGGGGTTTAGGAGGTACTTTCTTGACAAGGCAGGGGCAATAAAGGTTGTCGATCATGGAAAGTGGAGCGGATCAAGCTGCATCGTTTTCTACGCATAAATAGGTAGAGAGAAAAAAAAAAAACAACTACCCTGATTGTTTAGTGTTTCAAAAACCCAAATCTACAAGCAGACCGTTCACCCACAAATCCATGACGGATAGTTCGATTGGTCATCTGGATCAGGCCTGGATAAGTACGAGTGATTCAGAAAAATGTTAAAAAAATATAATAAACTGCATATTAAAAGAGAGGTTTTCAGTGTGGGGATAAAGAGGGATCCTAAGCAAACATCAAATAAGGTTAAAAAGCAAAAAAAAAAAAAGAAAAAAAAATTATAAAAGGGAGCTTAGGGAGAATTGGACCAAGACCTATGCCATCTCAGAACTTATTCAATCTTGACCGATTTCAATCGAGATCAGATATCGTCTAGGTTTTAAGGTATGCCATGAAGTTCAAAAATTGTGGGTGCACCCAATGATATACCCCGAGCAAATTTCCTAGCTAATGGTAGGGGTGATTATGACCTCCTTACACCGACAACATTATTTTAGACCTTTTTTCTTGTAGGTTCGAAGTTTCAAAACATCATTATCAACATGATATCATTCCATTTAGACTTATAAAAAGAAAATATAATTTGGAACACAAAACTGATCCTCTCAAATATGAACTCTGAATGTTCCACATGTGACTATAGATTTAAGTATTTCAAGAGTTTGCAAGTTTTTTAATTAATTTGTTTTTTACTTGTTTTCTTTTTTGCATTGCTTACTAGGTGAAAAAATTATAATCTGATTATTTGCATAAAAAAATCTCTCTAACTGTTTTAAAGGGGGCTGGACAACCTAATTATCTAATTATATGGTAGTCTAGATCATATAATCATTTTCCTTTAATTTCTAATATCTTCATTTGATTTCTTATATGTTGTAGTTTCTCTTTAGGATATTATATTTTCTTTTGGTTAAGTATGCCCGGGCTTTGTTGAAAGTTGAAACTGGTGTTCAAAACCACGACTCCGGGACGGGACTCAGCCCATGCAAGAGCCAAGTAACTTGGGATGAGTCCAAGTTACTTTGCCTGAGTTGGCCCGGATCTTGGGCAAGCCAAAAAAATGTTAAAAAAATAAAAAATACAAAAATCTTAAAAATAGGAAAAAAATATGTTTAAAGTAAAATTAAACAAAACATGTCTTAAAAAATTAGTGAAAAAATAGATCTTTAAAAAATCAATATGTTAAGGGAGTATTTTAAACATAATTAAAAAACAAGGGAAAATGTAAAAATAAATCTTCATGATCAAAACATTTTTTCATTTTTTATCAAAATGATAGAAAACATATAAAAGCATATTACAAGTAAATTTATTATTTTTTTATCTTTTTTTATACATGTTTTTGAATTTCGATCCCCAAGTTGACTACCCAACTTTGGGATATTTGGACTCACCAAGGTGGAAAGTCTGAATTACTCGGGCAAGTCCAAGTTGGCTTGCCCAAGTAATCAAACACCGAGTCTGAGTTACTCGAGCAAGTCCAAGGTTGCTTGTTGAGTAATCAAACACCGGAATCATTATATGATGGGTGCAGTTTGCATACGGATGCATCCGTAGCTGTAGAGGTACTGTGCACCTTCAAATTTTATCATGGTATATAATTTTGATGTAAAATGTTCTTAGGATTATCTCAAAATCTATTTTTATATCTAATTATAAAATTTTAAATTTCATAAATGGTTAAAATCAAGAAGATCTATAAACATAAGAAAATCTTGAAAATGGACGGTGTAGATAATATGTTGTAAAATGCACTATTTATGAGACTTAAAATCTTTTTATTTTTTATAATTGTACATCTCGATATCGAGACAGTCAATGAAAGGGTTTTTCAACATTAAAACTATGTTTTCCGATGGATTTTTGACGGGCAGCAGTTCTACATTATAAGGTAGCATCCTTATATAGACTTTTTCCTTATATGATATAATAAACAATACAAGTCTCCATCTTTTATGATACTCTCTCTCTCTCTCTCTCTTGCTCAAGCTCCATTGGTAGATCCCATCTCTTATGTAATGCTTGAAAGAAAGATTAATGCGATATTGCAGAGAAATATATTTTTTTATTTTTCTTCTTTTCATCTCTTTACTTTTCCTTTTCTTTTCTTTTAATAAATATCACTTACAAGTAGTCATATTACAATAATTTTTTCTTCAAAGAAAACAAAACTAACAAATCCAAGATCTTAAAAACCTTGATGTCATTAAATCAATTTTTTTTAAACAAAAAAAAATATCCACAATTCTTATGTTTAGGAATATAAAACCAATATAATTAAATATAGCGAGAAACAAAAAAGAGAGTACCGGAGATTACCTCAACCGAGCTTATTACACCCCACACCGAGTCATCGCCATCCCATGGCACGGGATCAATAGTCAACCGTCAATCTCAATCCAAAAAGCAAATTTAGGCCAAGCCACACCAATAGAATATAAACCCCTTTGATCACAAACTCAAATCCTAAGTGAATTCTCTTAGCAACTTAGTTTGAGATAGATGAATTCTCTTTTTGCTATACCCTAAAACCTTTAGCCATAAATGCATAGTTGAGAGATGAGAGAGAAAATAACCCCAGCCTAACACTGAGAGACTAGGGTCTGGGCAATAAATTAGGAGTGACAACGGGTTGGGTTCAATCGATCCAGACCTAGACCCAAAAATATAATGTGGGATTGAGACCCGACCCAAAAATTAAAATATATATGTATTTAAGTATATTTAACTATTTTTTCATAAATTAAGACCCAAAAATATATATGGGACCCAATCCCCGAATAGTGTTCGGGTCCAAGTTTGGACCCAAACCCAATCCGTCGGGTCCAATTTTTGGACCTATTCTCGGACTTGGGTCAGATCTACCCTTCGGGTCCTGGGTTGGATCTGGGTCCATTGTCACCCCTAGGTTACAAAATATTGCCGAGGCTAGGCCAGGCCAGTCTTGCCCGACTTCTTTTTTACTTATCTTTTCTCTCTCTTTCATTTGAGTCTATTAGGCTCAGCCCTGCGCCAAGGCCCCTTCACACGGCTCCAAGCTGAGGTAGGCTTGGGCCGACCATATAGGTACCCTAACCTGGCTCGGGCTTGGCCAGCCCAGCCCAGCCTAGACCAGGGCTGGGCCAGGGCCCCATCGCCCCTGTCCAGGTCGGGTCCACGACCTTAGAGGCACCCTGGCTAAGCTCGAGCAGGTGTCGCCCGACCAAATGACAGCCATTGCTAGCTCTACCGTGATTCTTAAATGGCCATAAGAAATGTATGATAAAAATGAGCTACAATTAAGCACCTTAACATTCCTATTGGGAAATAACCCTGCCAACCTTTATTTGCAATCCTGAAAAACTATAGTCTTAAACCACCGGTCTTAAAATGTAGTCTCATGGTTTTGCCGGCATTTTGAGGACCCGCGGGTGAGAAAAGATGGTCCCCTCCATGAATGGAAGTGAAGCAAGCGTGAATCTCAAGCTGGTGTGACAAAAAATATCGCATAAGAATTGAAGAATTCCATTCCCAGAATCAACGAATTTCCCCCATCCATCAATGACAATAAATCCCCCAAAAAATAAAATTAAACATAAAACATAACAAGGAATGAAATTATGAAAGTGCAATTTGTGAGGCGGAAAAGCCACCAAGTTAATGATCAACAGCCTCACCCTCATCCCACATGATCATCATTTCCTGACCTTATCGATTCGAGCACTTGCACCACCTCCGCCATGCTCGGTCTTCTCACCGCCAAATCTGAAGTGCACACCAGACCGAGCTTCAACACTTGCGCCACCTCGTCATCCCTTGCTCCTCTCATCCTAACATCCGCACAAGCGCCTGCCCCCGCCCCGCCTTCCAAAACACTCCTCACCCACTCCCTCAACACAACCACCTCCCCTGCAGGGCCCCTTTCAACTGACCTCTTTCCACTAACCACCTCTAAAAGAACCACCCCGAATCCATAAACATCACACTTTTCACTCACACCTATTGAGCCTTGGCTCCCCAGCTCAGGTGCCACGTAGCCGGCGGCTCCATGAACGTCCCTTGGCATTAGCTTTCCCAACCCATAATCCGAAACCTTAGCATTGAACTCCTCGTCGACTAAAATGTTCGAGGACTTTACATTTAGATGTAAAACCTTAGGCTTGCAATCATGGTGGAGATACGCCAGTGCTTTTGCAGCTCCTAAAGCAATCTTAAACCTGTTGATCCAATTTGGTGCCCTTCTCTTGTGTAAGTGATCATAAAGGCTAGCATTTGGGATGAATTCCCATAGCAAGAGCTGCATTGTTGATGACCAGTAGTAGCCTTGGAGGGGTGTGAGGTTGGGATGGTTGAGCCCACCTAGCCGTCCGATCTCCTGCTCAAACTCATCCTGGCCCTTGATCCTCCCCAATGTTTCAAGCTTTTTGACAGCGATAGATACACGACCATTGTCAAATGAAGCCTTATAGACAGTTCCTATTGTTCCACCTCCGATCAAGCAATCTTTATCTAGCAAGGCCTTTGTACCAGCCTCCCAATCTTCATACCTAGAAGGCAAGCTCTTGCTAAAAAGCACCAATTTCCCTATAATTGGGCTCGATTCAGTAGAGAGAGGAGTGCTCTGAACTATCATTAACTCAGCCGCACGCCTTCTACGACGGGCTTTTATATTCATAAAGGTTATTAAGCATACTCCGGTGAAAATAGCAGCAGCTGCAACAATAGCCACAATGGCTGTGACAGTGAGAAGCTTGGTTTTTCTAGCGCGTGGAATTGTCTCCTGGCCAGTTTGAGGGCATGGGGTAGGAAGTGGAGGCCCACACAAGTTAGGGTTTCGAAGAAAGGGTCCAGGTCCAAATTGTAATAAGGTTGAAGAGAGAGGAATAGGGCCTGAGAGATTGTTAGAGGAGAGGTTGAGATGGGTCAACTGGGTTAGGTTCCCAATGGCTCGAGGGATTTCTCCACTAAGGAAGTTGTTTGATAAGTCAAGGAACTTGAGGTTGGTGAGGTTGGCTAGAGTGAGAGGGATGGTGCCTTGGAGATCGTTGGTGTGCAGGTCAAGGATTTTGAGGTAGATCATGTTGTAGAGTGTATCTGGGATTGTGCCGGTTATGTTGTTGCCGGACAGGTCTCTGCAAGAGAGAGAAACATTGCAAGATTGAGGAGAGAGAGAAGAAAGCCTAAAAAAATAGAAGTAAGATTGGAAACATTGTGATGAACAAAGAGAAAGCAAGTTTTTCTTTCTATCGGACGAAAAAAAATGAAGTTTTTCTTTACGCAATTGGATAAGAAATCAACATGGTGACTTCTTGGTCAGAATTGAGGAGCAGTAAAAGACTAATCTTTTTGTGTTTGAGACAGTAACTGAAAACGAAAGGCTCAATATTTCAACTCAAAACAAATTCTTAGTTGGAATCTTCGAGAATTGGCCTCAATTCAGACATCATTATTGGTTAACTAAAGCAAAGTTGGCAAACATTTGGACGTTGGACCATTGAAAAACTGCTTTTGGGGTAAAAGTACAGAGAAGCAGATAAAGCAAGCCTTGATCATCTTCAAAATGCCAAAAAGGGTCCTTTATTTATGTTCCAGAGAGATGTTCAGGATGTGTGTGTGCCCACGCGTGTGTTTGAGGGAAAGACAGAGTGTGTGAGAGAGAGATGTTCATTCATCAAAAAAAAAGGGGAGAAATTCAACAAACAAGCTATAAGGAGTCCAAATGTGTTTGTGTATTGGTTTTCCCTCTGCATGCGTGCGAGAGAGAGACAGAGAGTTGTGTTTGTCTGTGAGGAAGAGAGAGATCTTCAAGAAAACAGCTACAACTGCAAAACTTGTTTTAAGGACAAGGGGCAAAAGAAAACAATGGTGTTACCCCCAACTGGTCAAAGACATAATCATCACATTACATTAGAGCACAAATGTTTTCTTACACAATTCAGAAAAGAATTGGAAGTATTATGGGAAACTGGGAAGACTGTGAGACAATCAAATTCTCCTTGACCCTTGTGTTTGTGTTTATGTGTGTATGTGGAGAGAGAGAGAGAGAGAGAGAGAGAGAGAGAGAGAGAGAGAGAGAGAGAGAGAGAGA